CACACACACACACACACACACACACACACACACACACACACACACACACACACACACACACACACACACACACACACACACAGAATACAGGATGTGAGAAGCTCATCCCTCCCATCTCCACCTCAGGCTCATATCTCCAGCTGCACCTGACAGAAATAGGTTTTCTCATTCCCCTCTGCTGATGTGCGTCTGCAGCACCCACTGTTCTCCACTGTTGAGTCTAAAAGATAAAGTTTTTCTAAAACAAAAGAAGATTATCTCTCATGGTTAAACTGATGAGCTGCATCAGCTCTCTGTAAAAACACAGCTGCTGTTACACACGTCAACTTGTACAGACTGTAAATGACTCAGATTTCCCTACATCTTGCAGGTGTATGGACGCATAGGACAATCTCATCTCTACATTTATTTTACGTCTCAGAGCCTGTAGGATAAAAAAAACAATAAATTAAATTAAACAACATCTCCAACCCGCTCTGGATGTTACTGCAGCTCTAAAGAAGCAGTTACTGGTCGCACATCTATAAATACCTCTGTTTTGAAATCAGTTCAGTTCAAGATGGCCGCCACAAAATATTCCTCCCTCAGTACCTGCTGATAGTGTGGTAGTAGCTGAGAGTCATCCACAATAAATACTCCAATCATTGACCAATCATATGAAAGATCTCATTATCCCAAGAAATTTATGTCATGATCAAAGTTTGACTGAAATAATTACAACATTTCATAAAACATGATCCTTGCATCAAAGCCAACAGAAGAATGATAGGCCTTTAATTCATCAAAAAATAATTCATAATTCAGACTTTATGCTTTTTTRTTTCTATTTCTGCATGAACTGACAACAGTTTGGCTTCAATAGCTACATGACATTTACATTATTTGTGATTGAATCTTTCAATTTACTCCCAAATGTTTAAGAAGAGTAAAATTTATATTTATTTTTTATTAGTTTAAATTAGTAAGAAGCTTTTAAGAAGACTGTTTTTTGCTGTTTAGTTTGTTTTGACAGAAGTGAGGTTCTGTGTAAAATAATAATGAATATCTTACCTGTTGTTGATAACTCAATGAATGAGTCTTCATAAGATGGATGAGCTAATGGCTGGTCTAAATGCAGCATAAACCAGTTTAAAATAAATGAATGTTCAAAACTTTTATAGAGGCTTGTCCAAACAATCATAAACTTTAATAAGTAAATGTCTCAATATCTGTTTCCTCAGGACTCTGTGGTTAGGGGTCCGCAGTGAACCAAATCTAACAAACAACTCATCTTCAGAATTTCTTCAAAATTAAGTGAAAATCTTTCAGATACATATTTGTTCATGGTTAGATGATGTATTTAGAGAAAAGTAAGGGACTAATTCAGCTGTGTGTGTGATGGTTTGGTGTTTGGGTGGAAACCAGATTTCATAGAGAAAAGCCACACTTTAGGGTTGGGCAATATTAGTTAAAGGGCCAATATTATGCTTTTCTCAGGCATACATTTAAATACTATACCATAATTAAAGTATCTATGTCACCTTTAGCTGTTATTAAAATGCTGTTTTATGTTTAAATACAAAATAAACTTATCTTCTCATCACTTCCTCTTCTAAACGCCTTGAAATTGGCCTCTCTCCTTAAGAACCACCTTCCGCTCTTGTCGCGCGGGGGGCGGGGGGAGGGGCTGCTATGATGCAGTTTACTTGGCATCTGAAAATACATTTCCTCAAATGTATTTTTAATCTRAAAAGTGCTTCACTGAATGAGAACTAATGTTAGGAGCTCAGCAGACAGTTTAATTTTCACTTTCACCCGAGAGCCTGCAGGAGTCATGGGCGGGGTGTGTGGGGAGGGGGAGGG